TAAATCAGGGACAGTAATAGTATTTCTCTCCTAGGATTGTTTTAACTTAAATGAGATAATATATGTAAAGTATCTTAAACAATGAAGTGCTTCATTGATGTTAAGTATTGTCTATTTCTGCAGTTTTAATTTTTAATTACAATCAGTACATATTACCTTTGTAAGAAAAACTTATTTAAAAAGAAAACATGATAACAAAGAAATGTGCGATAGCATAAGAGAAAGTGTTTCATCCAGCAGATAAGAGATTACCTGAGTAAAGAGGAAACTTTATCTTGCTCACCCTTAGAGCCAACCACCCTAGTACATAGTAGACAGTCAAATATTTGTTGGAATAAATGAACGTACAGATGAATGTTTGAATAAACAGAGGAAAATTTCCTTACAGAAATAGGTATGGAAAGCCAAATGATATACATAAAAAAATCAGGAGAATGGCTGTGGCATTGTGACCCCTCAACCTCAAACCACAGAGAAATTAAATGCATGAGAGTTGGAAATGGGAAATAATTGTGCAACTAAATACAAACATCTATCCTTCAACTTCTCCTCCTTCATACTGTATTTATGCAAAAGTCTGGGTCTCCATCTGGCCCAAACATCCCAAGGGCTAGTCTTTATAAAAGAATGATAAATTCTATAATTGGAAAATCTATACTAATAAAAGCCTATGTGGTCATCACGCCCTCACTCTGTGACTCCCTCGCACCGTAACAATCCACCACCAGGAGGCTGCGTGCCCAGCGGGCGTGCATGGGTGGGCGGGACTGGGTGCGTGGCAAGGCACACGTGGGTGGGTGGGGACTTGATGCTGTGTGTGCAGCATAGAGGCGGGACCCACCTTTTGGGGAGATTGATTGCAGGGCTCCCACACTGTGAGAGGGCACAGGCCAGGCTTGAGAACACCCCCCCCAACCCCCCCCCCCCCCCCCCCCCCCCCGCAAGTGCACGAAATTTCATGCACCAGGCCTCTAGTAAATTAATAAAAAAGAATGATGGACAGCCTAACAGACCACCAATACATTTAAGGAGCAAACATCTCCTTACATGTTAATGGTATGTTGCTCCTGGATCCATTGCTCCAGGTAATACGACATGGAGAAATCCTGAGATGTTTCTTCTGGAAAGGAGATAGTGGTTCTTTGTGTACCTAGAGCAATAGGACCACTTCAAAGCGGTAAGTACCGGCTACCAGGACATCTCTGACAATGTCACAGCACACATTACAGGCTGGGGAGCATGGGGCACACAGACACCATCATTTCTATTTCCAAGTTAGCCCAATAACACCAATGGGCATCATCAGCTCTCTAAAGGGAGCCTTCACTTTTCAGTTTCACAAGTTCAAAAATTACTTCTCAATATCTCTCCCCCAAGTGCAGAAAAGTGATGAGTCTCAGGAAAGGCAAAAAGTTTCCTTTTACAATGACGTTCAAAAACTGACAAGCATTGTAACAATAATCTCGGGGCAGTTTTTCCAAGTCATTGGTAGATTCAACAAAACAAAAGCAGAGAAGTTGAGTTTTGTCAACCTCTAGCAAGGCCTGGCTCAGTGAAAACTATCAGACTGGCTGAGCAACTGCCCTAGCTGGGGCTTTGTCTGTTGTCCACTGAACAGCTGGTTTCCATAGAAAGCAAGCTCTTACTCCCTGGTCCCAGGGACTGAGGCTTTGTGGATATTCCAAGTAAATGACCCACATGAAGACACCTGAACTTGGCCTAAAAGATTATCTAGTTTGAGTTTCACAACACTTTAAAGAGGTTAATGGCCTTAAATTATGTCTGTTCCATGGCTAGCATCAGAGAACCCCAAAAGGCATATAAAATGATTGTAATTGAAGATGTTTGGGATTTCTAAACATTTTTAGATGTTTTTAATGTTACTATGGATTAAATTGTCATTTAAAAAGAATATATACTGCAATATCAGACATCTGTTTACCAATACAGCTCCTAGGACAATGGAAACTAAGGAGAAAATAAACAAATGGGACATCAAAATAAAAAGCTTCTGCACAGCAAAAGAAACCATCAGCAAAACAACAAGAAAGCCCACTGCATGGGAGAACATATTTGCCAATGATACATCCGATAAGGGGTTAATCTCCATTTATAGAGAACTTGTACAACTTAACAAAAGAAAGATAAACAATTCAATTAAAAAATGGGCTAGGACCTAAATACACACTTCTCCAAAGTAGACATACAGAAGGCCAAGAGGCATATGAAAAAATGTTCAAAGTCACTAATCATCCAAGAGATGCAAATCAAAACGACAATGAGGTACCACCTCACACCTATCAGATGGCTATCATCAACAAATCAACAAACAAGTGCTGGCAAAGATGTGGAGAAAAGGGACCCCTCGTACACTGCTGGTGGGAATGCAGACTGGTGCAGCCTCAGTGGAAAACAGTATGGAGTTTCTTCAAAAAATTAAAAAGAGAGCTCCCAATTGATCCAGTGATTCCACTTCTAGGTATATATCTCAAGAAATCAGAAACACCAATCAGAAAGAACATATGCACCCCTATGTTCATAGCAGCATAATTTATAATAGCTAAGATTTGGAAACAGCCTAAGTGCCCATCAGCAGACAAGTAGATTAAAATCCTGTGGTACATCTACACAATGGAATACTACGATGCTGTAAAAAAGAAGGAACTCTTACCATTTGCAACAGTATGGATGGACCTGGAGAGCATTATGCTAAGCAAAATAAGCCAGTCAGAGAAAGATAAGTATCACACGATCCTGCTCATTTGGGGAATATCATGAACAACATAAACAGATCAACAAAAATAGATCCAAAGATAGAAGCATCAAGCAGACTGTCAAACCTCAGAGGGAAGGCAGGGGAGATCAACCAATGAAATTGCATGCATATAAGCATAACCAATGGACACAGACAATGGGGGGGGGGGTGAAGGCCTGGGCTGAGGGGGAGGGAGCAGGATGAGAGAGGTCAATGGGGAAAAAAGGGGACATATGTAATAAAAACTTTTAACAATAAAGATGTTTTATAAAAAAAAGAATATATGCTGCTTAAAATATTAGTTTTATACCTAAAATTACTCCAGATACAAAAAAGCAGCACATTTGAACAGAGAAGCTTTTCTCTTTTTGTTATGCTTTGGACATTTTTCAGCATTTAAGGCAGTAGTTCCTAAACATCATAAGAATGCTTGTTTAAAATACAGGTTTCCAGCACTCATCCCAGAAATGGGGGGTGAGAACCTCAGGGAAGAAGCTGGGTGCTGTAATTTAACAAGCACCCAGGTGAGTGGCATGGTAAGTCAGGTTTGGAAAACACCTGATCCAAGGATAAAAAATATCACCATTTTCAAGAAAGATGGGAAATGGAGAAAAGTCCAATTTCAAAAATTTAAGGACAAATGGGAAATAAGAATAATGCCGTGCTTATGGCACACTGACACGAGAAAACCTTGAACAGGCACGGAAGCTCAGTGAACAGTTCCACATCTCTAAGACCACAACCCCCCTCAATGTGACCCAGCTGCCCTGCAAACCACGCCACCTGCAAAGGGACACCTGGCCCAATTCTCCCATCGTGAGCAGAGTTAAGCAACTGCTCTATTCCTCGCCGCTCTCTAAAACAAACAAAAATGATTTCTACTCTATGTGAGCCCATGAACGGAGACTCCTTTGGGGCATCTTTTGGGCAATTTGGGCATCTTTCTCATCCACGGGCACAGGTAGTCAGTCCAAGGCTCCTCAGAGCTGAACTGAAGGGATTGAAGATGGTTTACAGGGCAGGGCAGGAACAGGGGTAAGAATGGCAGGAATCCCATGGGCAGGTGGGAGGAGCAGGAAGAATATCTGCTGCAAAACTAAGACCCCCCGCCCCCAATAAACTGTGGAGGCTTATGAAAAGTGTTTGAAAGCACCTTTCAAAGAGAAGCAACCCCCAGAAAGAAGAGAGAGAACTAAGGCCCCACGCAAGGCTATGGGCACACCTGTTCCTCTGGAATGTGACCTGGAGAGATGCTCTTTGGAAAGTACAAGAAGCCATCTGAATTCAGTGGAATCCTCAGACTCTCCTCCTGCAAGGGATGGGGTTACCCAGAATGGGGCTGAGGGCAATCCAGTGAAAGAGGGTGACTCCCACCCATCTCCCACCTCCCAGAGCCCTGTGCCCATCCATGAGAAGAGGCTCTGGGGTAGGAGTCTCTCAGTGGCAGGCATTCCCAATGGTACATATCATAAACCTTCTTCCTAGTCATCCACCTAGGAAAGAGCTGGCAGCAGCTCCCACGGCACAGAGGGATGCCATCTGCCGGAAAGGCTGTACCAGGCGCCTCTTGCCCCTGCATCCGCTGGGGCTTACCTGGGGAGCAGCAGCCAGACTTGGGGGCAGAAACAGACAGCAGATGTGCTCTGGGCGCCCAGGAATAACTTCCTCCCCTCAGGGCTCCCCAGAGGCGCAATCCTGCCACCCAGTCTCCTCTTCAGGGCAGGGACCAACTCCATGAGCTCCCTGCTCCCTGCCCCTTCCCCTTCCCCTAAAGATGCCAAAGGTCAACACCACCATTTCATGCAGCCCACTGCCATGTCCCTCCAAAAATCTGGAGCACCTGGAACACCTGGCTCCCTAACCCATAAGCTGGGCTCACCCCCAAACCTAACCCCTGCAGCACACCCTAGAGACGGTCCAATCACAGCTGCCCAAGAGGTTCTCTGTGGGGCTGGGCACAGCCAGCCATCCACCTAAGGAGGATTCAGACGCTGCGGGAGCCTCTCTCTCTGCAGCTGCTCAGGGTTCATTCCACGCTCAGTCGAGTCGCCTCCACCCGTCCTACAAATACACACACCTGGACTACAGGTAACAGGCCAAGAGGCGCAGGCCTTCCAAGTGCCCCTTCAAAGTTCTTCTCAGGCAAGACAGCCTGGGAGCCAGGACCCGCCAGCTGCCCTGGAGGCCTGCGCAGCCCCCCGCCCGCCTCGGGCCCCTCGCGGAGGCTCCCGCCCCCGGTACTCACGTCTCGAAAGCGGTTCCAGTACTTGTCGCGGTCGTACTGGGAGACGGTGCTCAGCCACTGGTCGTTGTTCAGGAAATTGCCGTTGGGGCCCGCGCGCCCCGCGAGCGCTTCCAGGCGCCGGCTCTGGACCTGGAGGAAGCACACGCGGCGGCCGCCGCGAGCACCGCGATCGCTGGCATCTGCGGGGCAGGGCGCGGGGCGGTGAGCGGGCCGAGCCCCCAGCCGCCCCGAGGACTGGGCGCCGTCACCGGCCCCAGCGACAGGGCGGGGGTCTCCCGGCGGGCCAGGGGCCATCTCTCGCCCACCCCGGGCGCCTGTCGAGGATCTAGAGACCCGGGGACCCCTCTCGGGAATGGGGGGGACTCAGTTATCAATGAAGAGGCTGCGTCACAGATTAGGGGCTGCTGTCAAACTACAGGGGAGCCCTGCCAGCCGTTCTCTGGGTGCCCCGGACCCCGCTACTCTCAGACGGAGGCTCCAGTGCCCTCCACAAACCGGGAGCCCTGGCCCCGCACGCCGCCTCCCGCGGACGGCGCCCAGAGCTGATAGAGGGGGGCAGCCGGGCTCCGAGCAGCATCCAGGCTCGGGCAGCATGGGGGGTGGGGGAGTACCCGCGGCTGGGAGGCTCTCTCCTTGCCCACCCTGCCGCCTCGGCCAGAGGGGTTCGCGGAGACACCCCAGACCCCCGACCCTGCCAGCCCTAGGTGGTCGCGGGGAGTCCCAACTACGCCAAGTTGGGGCGCGGGGTTTGGCGGGCACGTACCTTGGGGGCTGGCCCGGGTCCCCGCGTCGGAGTCGCCGGAGCTCCGGTGGCGCGGTCGCGGGGGAAGCTCTGGCCTCGCTCCTGCGCTCCTGCCGCCGCCACACAGTCTGGCGCTTTGTGAGCCCGCAGCGCTCTGGCTCTGCTGCTCTCCGCTCGCTCGGGCGCGGCGCCCGTTGGCGGAGGAGCCCGAGCGCACGAGCCGAGGCCTCTGGCGCCCCCTGGCGGCCGCACGTTGCTGTACCGCAGGACCGGCAGCCCCCCAACCCGGGCCTGGAATGTGGTTATCCACATCCTTAATGCAGGACTGAAACAAGCTTTCAGGCCCAAGCTGGTGAGAGACAGCGGAGGGGGTTAAGGATGCAAGACCCAGAAGCCAACCAGCACTGAGGCATTCTCAAAAGGAAGGTCGCCGGGCCGCCCAAGTTAGAATCGCCTTGCGGGGGAGAGGATGGGGCTCCTTAAAATAGGGATTCCAGGCGCACTCCCCAAACTTGCGGAATCCGCATTCTTCAGGTGGGTCTCCCTGAGGTGAGTGAATTTCTGCGCTGCCCATCCCAGGTCCTGCACCCACCGGGTCTCTGCACTCCAGGCCCCATGCCATGCTCACTGCTGTCCAGTCCCTTAAGACAGCCCTCTGGCCTCTGTTTCCATCATTTCTACATCCTCGTCCCCAAATTGGCCTGGTGGGTTTACCTGCACTGGAGTCCTTATCTGCTGAACTGGCCCGTTGGGTCTTCCTAAGGGAAGGGAGGGAAAGAGGAAAACTAGACCAGGCTCCAGAGGTAGGACACACAAGCAGGAGGCTGCCCATGCGGTTCATCCCCCAGTCACTTTCCAAATCCTCAGCCATGTCTGGTCCAATAGGGCTGGAAGGGCCCGGCCAGCATGGCTCAGTGGTTGAGTGTCAACCTGTGAACCAGGAGGTCACGGTTCGATTCCGGCACATGCCCAGGTTGCAAGCTCAATCCCAATGTGGGGCCTGCAGGAGGCAGCCAATCAATGATTCTCTCACATCATTGCGGTTTCTCTTTCTCCTTCTCCCTTCCTCTTGGAAATCAATAAAAACATATTTGTAAATAGGGCTGGAAGAGAATTCATGCAGTGCCCCTGTCTGCATACAAGTGACACTTGCTGTCTTTCTCGTGTACAACCACACCCCATTCCATAGACACCTGAGGGCTCTTTTAGAACAAATCTGACACACTCATCCCTCTCCCCTCAGCACACACTTAACGCTCTTCGTCTTGCTCTCCTGATAAAGACCCAGTGCCCTGCACCCTTGGCCCCTGCCTGCCTCTGCTGCTGCCTCTCATGCCACTCCCTCCTCCTTCCCTGACAGGCTGGCCTTGGTGTAGACCTGAGTGGAGGTGGACGCCCTCCAACACTGGTGCTCACTTCTGCCGGGCCACTGTCCACCCCCACCCCCAGCACAGGCTTCATCGATCCCCCCGCCCCACCCCCTTCCGCCAGCTTATTCATCAGGACCTCTTCCCTGAAGCTCTTGCGGAGCCTGTAGACCAGGCTAGGACTCTGGCGACACTATCCTGGAAAGGCCGATGCTTCTCCAGCTGTAAGCTCACTGCACTTGAGCTCACTCCACATGGATGCTCCCCACCTGGCTGGAGCTCTGGGAGGGCAGAGGCCATGTTTGGCTTGTTTGCTGCTGCTCCCAGTGCCCAGCACCAAGCTCCTAACACAGAGCAAGTGCTCAGAAAATTATATGATGAATGAATGAATGAATGAATGAACGAATGAATGTCACCACTCGCGGTCTGAAACCACACTCCTCAACCAAAATGCCCCAACAAGTGTGATGCGGTCAGTGGTAAGCTGTACTGCAAATAGTTTGATTGTGTGTAGTTTAATGTATAGCAATTGGATTAAGATTTTTTTTTCTAGAAAGTAGCAGATGCTTATCCCAACATTACTCTGACTGATTTACATTCCTCGAGGCATTCTTTTTTATCATTATTATTATTGATTTTAGAACTGACGAGAGAGAGAGAGAGAGAGAGAGAGAGAGAGAGAGAGAGAGAGAGACTGATGTGTTGCTCCACTCAGTGAACTCATTGGTTGCTTCTCGTATGTGCCCACAACCTTGGCGTATTGGGACAATGCTCTACCAAACTGAGCTACCTGGCCAAGGCTCCTAGAAGCATTCTTAAATGGGAGAAAAAGGAGTGGAGTCACAGCTATCTATTGGGGACTGCACGTCATGCACAGTTTATTTTACCATGGGAATACTTTAGGTATTTCAGCATCATGTTCTGGGTATGTCAGAGCAGGAGAGAGGTTTAGAATGATGGAGAGAGGATTTTTTTTTTTATTTTCTGAGAAACCCAAGAGAAGATGTAGTGTCGAGGATTGAGAAAGGTATGTTGAGATGGTTTGGACATATAGAGAGGATGAATGAAAGGACATAGACGAAACAAGTATACAAGAGGAGTGTGGATGGGAGAGTCGGAAGGGGTTGACTTCAGCGAACGTACCACAATCAGACTGAGGATGTTTTTAGCAAAGGCCAGCTTAGGAGTACCCTAATTAAGTTAATAACAATGTACCTACCTATATAATTTAAGTTTAAAAAATTTGGCTCTGAAAAGAAGTTTTAATTGTACTGTTGATATTTGGTTCTGTTGACTAATGAGTTTGCTGACCACTGTCCTAGGACAATGGAAATTAAGGAAAAAATAAACAACTGTACCCCTATGTTCATAGCAGCACAATTTACAATAGCTAAGATTTGGAAATAGCCTACGTGCCCATCAGCAGATGAATGAATTAAAAAACTATGGTGCATCTATACAATGGAATACTATGCAAATGTAAAAAAGAAAGAGCTCTTACAATTCACAACAGTATATGGATGGACCTGGAGAGCATTATGCTAAACGAAATAAGCCAGATCTCTCTCATATGTGGAATCTAATGAACAACATAAACTGATGAACAAAAATAGACCCAGAGACATAGAAACATTGAACAGACTGTCAAACCTCAGAGGAAAGGCACGGGAGAGTGAAGGGGGCGGAGGGAAGAGATCAACCAATGAGCTCATATGTGTATATGCATTACCCATAGACACAGACAATAGGATGGTGAAGACTTGTCGGGGGAGGAGGAAAGAGGGCAATGGGGGAAAATACGGGACCTATGTAATACTTTCAACAATAAAGATTTATAAAAATATATATTAAAACAATAAAAATAGCCCAGTCAGCATAGCCCATTGGTTGAGCATTGACCTATGAACTAGGAGGTCACAGTTAGATTCTCAGTCAGGGCACATGCCTGGGTTGTGGGCTCAATCCCCAGTGTGGTGCGTGCAGGAGGCAACCAGTCAATGGTTCTCTCTCATCATTGATGTTTCTATCTCTCTCTTCCTCTCTGAAATCAATAAAAATACATTTAAAAACAACAAAAAACCTCTAATAAAAATAAAATATAAAAGCATCTCCTCGCATATCACTTATTAATTATAAAGAGAAAAATACCAACTTTCCAGCAGAGAAACCAGGAAAGTAATATATTAATCAGGTAAAGTTACCATTGCCAATAATAGGACAATTACATCATGTACTCCATGACATAATGCCTGAAGCAATACTATTTAGGAGGCAGAGGGAAGCTAGGTAGACAAGGACAAGACCATGGTAGGGGATGGGGAGAAGAAGTAAAACTAGGTGGAGTTACTGAGACACCCCAACTGGGTAGGGCAGGAAGAATGCTAGTGGGAGACATGAGCTTTAAAATGTATGGATGTTGCTAAGATAGGCAGCTTGCAGATAACCAATCACAAGGTAGTCTAAGGCAAAATTCTTGAAAGGACCAATCAGAAACTAACAATCATATATACAAAAAAAGGGGGGCGTTCCCCCCCTCCACCCGTGCACAATAGATACCTGAAGGTCCTGTTGTGGGAGACCAGATCCCTCCCACATGGCTTAGAGCCATGTACTGGTAAAAGAAGCCCTGGACACAGGGCTGCTCCTGGAACCACAGCTACACTTTTTCCAGGACTGGCTTCTCCCAATAAACTTTGGTTCTGCTCTCTGCTTTTGTCCATGACTTCATTCTTTGTTTTTGTGAAACAATAAACTCAGATTCAACACCCCACATTTGGTTTCATTATTATATAGTATTTGTCAAACATTCATAAATGTAAAGATGCATATTCTGAACCTAATCATGAAGAAACATTTAACAAACTCTGTGGCATATCTGGGTCTTGGTCCTTCCTCCCTTTTTTTCTTGCTTATACAATCCATAAAGCCGATTCTTTGGACTCTTGAAAATTCTTCAAATTACAAAATATCCTTTATTAAATCCCTTGCTGCTCTAATATATTGAATGAATTTTATCTGCAATTGTTTTTCTCTATTTTCAGAAAAAGACATAAAAATAAATTATAAAAAAAATACAACACAGTGGGTAAAATAATTAGATGAGAATTTTTCAGTAGTTTTAGAAACCAGATACTGTAAAAAAAAGACAGTTACAGAAATATGTGTCACCATTTTAGTTACTGCGAAATTCATAATATATGTACTGAAAGGTTCGGAGTGGGCCGGGGTTGCACACCTATGACATGAGGCCATAATGTATCAAAAGAGATTTTATTCGGGGCACCTGGGTGAAGGTGGGCTGAGACCGAGAAAAGCATCAGTGAAGAGAGCAGGGAGAAATAGGTTTTTATTAGTTTTTGCTGGCTGCAAGCCACTCTGCTGACGTAAGGGTCTGGTCCATTCTTGGTTCCTCCCATGGCAGGTGTCTGCTGGTTATCTGAGCTATGCTGTGCTCAAGGCTGCAAGCTTTCTGCAAGATATCTGCTAAACAGAATAAGTCTTTCTCTGCCCCATTTTATTCTCTTTAACCCTTTCACTCCCATCTTAAAGGGTATATATAAAGAAAAAGAAGGGGAATGGGGTTGCTGTTTCTCTTTGTCTGCTTCATGCATGGGAGGGGCTGTCGTGGACGCCTAAGGAGTAAATTCAGATTATTTCTTGGAATATAGGCCTGTAGGGTCCCTTTTCTTAGGTAAGGACAAATTGTCTTACTGTCTTAACTAGGACTTGTAATCTTGTTTGTATAAATTTGGTAGCTATTCTGAAAAATGTAGGGCCTGAAGAGGAGGAGTAGGAGAAATAGTATTAGGGGGCCTGTAAGGGGGTAAAAGCCCGTTAATTTGGGCAGAGCTGCATGTAGGCTGGACCATATGGACTTCTCTATGCTGTCCTAACTGATTTCCTTGAGCCATTGAGTATTCTGTAGAATGTGTTGTGTTCTTTCCTCTATTTGACCTGTAGAGTTTAGATAAAAACAACAGGAGGTGTTAGGAATTAAACAAAACCTTCCCTCTTTGGCTAAAAGATAGTCTAAGGCAGGGGTGGGCAAATTTTTTGACTCGAGGGCCACAATGGGTTCTTAAACTGACCGGAGGGCTGGAACAAAAGCATGGATGGAGTGTTTGTGTGAACTAATATAAATTCAAAGTAAACATCATTACATAAAAGGGTACGGTCTTTTTTTTTTTTTAGTTTTATTCATTTCAAACGGGCGGGATCCGGCCCGCGGGCTATAGTTTGCCCACGGCTGGTCTAA